TACGGATTATGAAATTTATAATTAAAATATCAATAAATATGTAGGATATAAACCATATGTTATCCAAAATAACATATTAAAAATAAACCATAATACTTTTTTCACAGTTATCAAGGGCACATTCTAACTACTGTAATCCAGCATTTACATAAGCATAACCATAACAATCGGGAATACTTCTAGAATACTCGATACTTCTTATCGAGCACCACTAGATGAAGAGTGTCTACAATAACGGGTATTGTACATTTCCTTTATGCCTAGACTTAGTACAAATTTAAGCTATAAAAATATAGGAAGATCCGATGTAATGACACTACGACGAGATCTGAATGCTAAACAACATTTGCCGATTAAACATAAGTGTTTTAACTCAGTAGGTTCGGTATATTGCTATTGCAGGGCCTGATGTCGACATTTACCGTAATTCATTTACACGGGTACTTCAACTTGTTTTTGTTGTGTATTTGAAATAGTTGGTAGATTGATTATGTTGGTGGATGGTTTGCATAAATCGAGCACGATAGGCCTACGAAACAATTAACACAACGAACTTGCAACCTCAAACTGAGACTTACAGATGAACTTAAACAAGCCTAGCTGTTGCTTTAAAGTGCTGCCTTTCCTAAAATCATATTATACAAAAATCCAAAAAAATAAGTAAAAACAGTTAGAAACAGATTTTGGCCTTCACGTTCACGGAGCCATCGATTCGGTGTGTTAGGCCTACGTACTAATATATACTGTGTGGTGTGGGTCGCTGTTGTTCCTCAGTAGGATGGCGTCTTTTTAGTTTAGACACCCCGCATACCCACGAAGATACGACACTGTGTATCACATCACATATCACATCATGTTTAATGCAACATCATATCATATCACATCCCATCAAAAAATATATAGGCCTAAAAAAAAAACGTTACATCCACATGACACAATATATCATATCATATCATATCACATCGTATCATATCATATCTTACAGTATATCATAACATATATCATATTGTATATTGATACAAGTTACGCGCACCGTCTTTCGGATGAGACGTTTAAGCCGTTGGTCCCGTGTGCATTATGGCCCATGTGCACATTAAGAACGCAGTACACTCATCGGAAAAGAGTAGGGGATTGTCTCCCGGTGTACTGCCCAATAACCACCAGAAGGACCCCACTGAAAATAAGTCTTCTTCAAGACTATCCTTAATGTTTACACCGAATAAATCCATCCAATCTAATCCAGGCTTTATAGTCCTTGTTGCCTATGGTTTATCAATATCCTGATTAGGCCCCATGATCCATTGCTTTTTGATTTGCCTTTCTGTACAATCACATTACAATCACATTAAATCAATTCGAATTACATCACATATTCAAATACAATCAAGCGTAGGCTTAGATTGTGATTTTTGATGTTTTCGTCAATTAGACTTAAAGTGAATTGTTCGTAAAAAGTTAAATCTTTGATCCTAACCCTATAAATATTCAGATTGATTGCATTGCATTGCCGATAAAATTAATCAATTTCAAGTTATTTAAAGTTATCCGATTCAATGCAGTTGCTTTGTTTGATGTACGTCAAAACTATACATGTAACAAAAGCTGTGCTACTCTCCTATTCCACACTCAATGGCATCTTAATTATTTCATTAAGTGCTCCCCCGTACACCACTTAATATCAATACATATGATTTTCAGATTATATATCTTTATCATTAACCCTAGATTAGTGTCTTAAATTGCATGCGTTCGTGTGAAAATTAAATCATATTTCTAGTCATAAATAATTAATTAAATATTCCAGCTGACGTGCATATACATTAAGCAGGGTCATATCACTTTGTACTGTACTTAATCGTCTGCTAAATGTGTTGAACACTTCATTTATGCAATTCAATTGGTTAACCTTTTGAACAACACTAATTTTTAGTTAGAGTGACGTCATTGGATGGATGGATGGATTTATTCAGTGTAAACACAGAAAGTGATAACCCACGAAAGTATAAAGAAGACTTTAAATTGGGGTCCCTCTGGTGGTGATTGGGCAGTACACCGGGAAACAATCCACTACTCTTTTCCGAATAGTGTACTGTGTGCTTTAACGTGCACGTGGACCATAACGCGCACGGGATTGGGACCAACGTCTTAATCTTATCCAAAAGACGGTGGTTTATCGACACTTGCATTTCAGCCCTCTAGTTGAAACACAAGTAGAACGACGATGTGAATAGAACCGGGGTTCAGCGAACACACAATGACTACCACCAGTTTAGCTAAGCTTCTCCCATTGTATTGTAGTATTAGGTCTTAATCTCAGGGAACCTAAAATTAGAGCTTGGGGTGGAGATAGGGGCATACTTATGTTAAGTTATCAGCTCTCGGCCTGCCTGCTAATGATACTAAGTTAATCCTAAAAACTCGCACGTTAACAAAGATTAGCAAAATAAAAAAAAATAAAAAAATATTTTATGGAAAAGCACTTACAAATATATACAAAATCGATGCTATTGTGGTTGTTAAAAGGCTATTAATAATAATAATAATCAATAAATGTCTGTTTTTCATGGTTACTCTAAAATAACAGTTGATTGAGCATACGTGCGTTTAGACGTTTACGTTTAATTAGTCAGAAAGAGTCGGAACGTGGAAAATAATGACAGAGGAAGACAAATTACAGGCTATGAATCTATCCACCCTACTCATGTTCAACAATCAGGACAATGCATTAGATGTATTATCAATCACTGTAAAATATCCACACAGACATCACTATCCTTTGACGTTGTCTCGGAATATCACGTGACAGTTGTCGAAACTCGTATCACAGTTGCCATTGACAACATTGGCGTGCGTATAGTTTTCGCCTGACACTATATTACAAGTTATATAAATGTAATCTCTGCACATCTTACGCACTGTTTTCTCACGTTAGTCTATATTCTTTACTCAACTAATATTTACAAACGCGTTTCAAATTATATCTTCGAAATTAATATCTAGAAATGTAATAAGATATCGACGTATTAATGTCACGGCAAATTGATTTGCTGTAAGTTTAAAGTCCAAATTTTCTCATTTCATACTTACATTACACCAAAGTTATGGTTCTCATGAGAGTTGAAATCAAGCTGCTAGATGGTTACCAAAGAACGCACTACACTAATATAGAGTCTGTTTTCTGTGATCACATTTATTATCGCACGTAGGCCGAATAATATACTTCAACTATTTCGATAGACATAACCAGCTTATCGTAGAAAATAAGATTGTTTCCCTTCTGAGAGCAAATTGAGATAATAAGCCATCGTTAATTACGAGACAGGCTCAACATTGAGAGCACGGGGGCGCTCATTTATAAGGAATCAGCTTTAAGCTTATGTTATATTCTAAACATGCTAATCTTCGCTTGTATTCTCGGGTAAAGCACTTACTACGGTACATTGTTCTTTGGATAGGATTTCTCCAGGTGCAGTTAGCGTGTTCAAGGGGTAGGCGACCCGCCCCAGCCCCCTACATTTTTCAAATAAAAAAAACCCAAAAACTGTATTGTAAATCTGAGAGTGCAGCTTGCGGCCATCAAGATCGTGACCCTCTATCTGAGGAAGTTCCTCACTGTTCCCCCACCCCGCCTCTATTATGGATTCCTGGCTCCACCACTGAGGTGTACTGACCAATTCACTTGTTTTGTCTGTGTATGTCTATGATTTGAGTTAGTAAAATGAATTTCCAATTATTCAGTGATATTCATTGCTGCTAATCCATGTTCCTAAATATAAATCAAATTAAACCAAACTCTAGACGTCTACTTACAATAAAGTTTTAGTCGATTTTTTTTAAATTATTCCCTTTCAATTAACCAACATCTTCTTCCTATCGGCAAAATGCACCTGCATATCTAAAGCTGCTGTGTAAGGTTATCTAGAACATTTGTATTGCAAAAATAAGTTTATGACAATAATAATGTGAACTGTAATGGAACATTATCGATTTTCTTCACCAAAATATATTTCCATAAACTATCCCGTAAATGACACTTTTCTTTAGAATGTCAGTGTGTAATAACGTAGCTATGTAACATTTATACATCTGCAATTGGAAATAGAAATTAAACTCTTGGGAGATGACGTATCACGGTAATTTTTCCCTTAAAGCGGCTCTTCCACCATTAGGTGTACCAGGTAGGTGTGGTACAACACATCTGTTTGTAGGACACGCGCGTATTCCTGACCCTGTCTGATTGGTCAGTTGTTAAGTTTGATTGGCACTTGGAAAGGTCCATTGTGCATGTTGAGAACAGATTGTGTATGCGCTCAAGTGTCTTTAGACGTCAGCTGGTGAGCGAACTACTTTAAATATCTTAAACCGGAGTTCACAACTTGATTGTGCATTCAGTATACCGATAAAATTGTTTTTATCAAATTCTATGAAATCATGTTGCAACTATTAGTTAGGCTACCGTACATAATATATCATTGGCTTGAATTACGTATGCTAAATTGCTAAATAGACATGGTGGGAGTGATATTACACACGTTTATATACATTAAGCAAAATAATGCTATAATTCCATTTATTCATTGATCATTTTGTACAACTTATTATAACAATTTTAGTTTAATAGTAAAAATCAAGAAGTGAAACTTAAACTCCATCATTTAAATGCTTTCCGTATGCTCCAATAATCCTTTGTTCAAATCTTGTAAATCCTGTTGTACGAAAATGAAAAATATTCAGAAAATATATTAATATATTTATATTACAACATTATATATATATATATATATATCAATATTATATATGTATATATAGGGCTATATAGCATATTTATAATAATGTAATATATTAAGCATAATAAACAATATATATATATATATGTATATATATATATATATATATATATATTCTAATTATAATAATAAATGATTGTTATAGCTATTTCAATGAAAGATAACTGCCATCAGAAAGGCACTGCTTATTCCATTGTTTCATTGTCACCATAGGAAGAATGTCTACATGCAAGATGATACAGGCGAGTTTATTGGTGACGTTAGCGATTTTAGCATTAGCGGCAGTGGGTAATGCAGAAACATTGGCAAGTATCGACAATCAAGTTGAAAAGGTTGTAAGAGATAGGATCCTCATAGATATGCTGAATCAAATGCTTTCGGTAAGAAAAGTTTAAACAATTTGTAACTGAACAGTAATCGAAGTAGAGATGTTGTTTTGTGGCTAAACATGAAAAATGTCAAAAAACCTAAAACAACCTCACTTTTTAAGCCTCATAAGAAAACTTGGTTATTATGGAGCGTTGAGGTTCCCAAATGATCAGCTCTTCACGAACTAAGCCTTATACAGAGCCTTGGTTACGGAGCATCTAGTTTCCAAAATAATGAGCTCTCCACTTCCCAATGTTCACGAACAGACTTGGGTATAGAGCTACAGTATGTGGGTCTCAAATAATCGGATGATCATGCTCCCATGGTTATAGACCATTTGATGAACTCGAATTTTTAGCTCCCAATTTCCCAAATTCGCACTACGAAAGAAAGTTGGTAGGCCTAGGCTCAACAGGGTACAGCTTTCCACTCCGTAAGCCTCATAAAGAGTCCACTTTGTTCCAGAGTAATGAGTGACTGAAATGATAATACTTCCCTCCGTAATCCTCATAAAACGACTTGGTTATAAAGCACCAAAGCTTCAGAAAGACTTGGTTGTAGAGCATTGGGGTTGATAACTTTACTCCCTAAAACGCATAAAGAAACTTGGTTGTAGAGCTTCAAGGATCTCGAATGATGAGCTCTCAAATTGCCAAACCTCATAAAAAAAAAACTTGGTTGTAAAGCGTCCCGGATTCAAAATGATCAGTTTTCCACTCCCAAAGCCACATGAAGATACTTCGTCATAGAGCATTGACGGTGTCAAAATATATTAACTCTTCACTTCCAAAACCCCATTAAGAGTTTGGTTGCATAGCATCGAGGATCTCAGAGATGATTAGCTCTCTCTACACTCAGAGCCACGTAAAAATATTTGGTTATAGAGCATTGACTTGCAAAATGATTAACCATTCACTTCCAAAACCACATTAGACTTGGTTTTAGAGCAAACAAGGGCACCTAATGATCAGCTCTTTACTTTCAAATCCACTTAAGATACTTGGTTATAGAGCATTGACACCAAATGATTAACTCTCCACTTATAAAACCACATAAATAGACTTGGTTGTAGATCATTTAGGATCTCAGATGATGAGCTCTTTACTTAAACCTCATAAAGAAACTTCGTTGTAAACTCTCCACTTCCAAAAACACATAAAGAAACTTCGTTGTAGAACATCGAGGATCTCAAATGATCAGCTCTCCACTCCTGAAGCCTCTTGAGGAGTGGAGACTTGGCTAGAGCAAACCAGGGTACCAATGATAAGCTCTTCATTCTTCAACAATGATAAAGAGACTTGACTGTAGAGCATCGAGGATCTCAAATGATCAGCTCTCCACTCCTCAAGCCTCTTGAGGAGTGGAGACTTAGCTAGAGCAAACCAGGGTACCAATGATAAGCTCTTCATTCTTCAACCCTCATAAAGAGACTTGACTGAGAGCATCGAGGATCTCAAATGATCAGCTCTCCGCTCGTCAAGCATCATAAGGAGGCATGATTATAGAGCACAAGCACGAGCATAGAGTTATCAAATGTGCTGATTTTTTTTAGTCTATATCTTGACCACTCTTTAATATGAACAGAAAATTTAAATTTTCATAACGATCTGCGTCGATAAAATTAGTAATGAATCAGAAATTCGCTAATTGAAAAAAAAAAAAACCCCGAAAAACATGTTTTCCTTGGACATCATAATAATTTATATTTAACCTTTAATTTATCTTTATTATATCTAGGATTGAATGAAAGAAATTAAAATAACTTAATTTCCATATATTTTGGCCTAGACCTATATTTAATATTTTAAAAAACTAGGTAATATAATTGATTCCATTTTGTTTAAAATTCTAGACAACATTTTTTGTGCGCGTCCATGCTTATTGCTCTTAAAGACTGAAAATTTGAGGTTTTGATTATTCCAGTTATACATCTCAAAACACAGATTAATATGCTCTGTCATTGCAGTTTAATTCCACTTAATATAATGCTAACGGTTATCAACATTAAGTCAACATCAAGGATAATGTAGTTATAACACTCGAATTCCAATGACATCCATACAACTCTTCTCACCTCATCCGTATATAATTCAATAATGCTTTTGCGCGCAAGTCGAATCAAGGATTTTATGGAAATTAATATTTCATTTAGAAGATTTATATTAATCTATTGCGGTCTTGGCTATTCATGAATAAGTTTGTAATCCTTCCATCGTTCAGCCATCAAATGCAAAAAAAATTATTGTATTTTAAAACCTCGTTTCGGTTTGGCTACTACTTTAACAAATCTTGGTTAATGTTTTATACGCTGTCCATGCTGATTACTAAATATGTTACTTCTTATTCTGCAATATTAATTGGACTGTTCATTATTCAACGTTTTTAAAGATGCAATTAAAAAAAAACCACAGCATTAAGCACGATTATACGCAAGCTATGTTATTATCGCATATATCAAAACCATCTCGGAAGAATTTCTGATCTATTATCCATTAAACTTTCGACAATGTCCCCTTTTCGGTTATTATTTTTATTTCGAATGGATTAAATTTATATATATATGTATCAAACGTTGACATTCAATGTTTAAGGAAAAATGTATTTCAATTGGAATAATAATGTAGGCCTACTTAAGATTTATTGATGTTGCTGGATTTATCTTATTAAATTTGTCGAAGCTGGTAATAGCCATGGTTCAATTAAACCCAAACATGCTTTCTGATACTTTTTTAAAAATACCGTATCGTTCTAAATCTGTTTGGTCAGTAGACCAACAAGGATGTGTGAATAATAACTTATTTTGCTTCA